TTGTCGTGTTGATAGTTTCGTGTTAATAGCAGATCTTTTAAATCTGTTTCATTTATTGAAAGTTTTCTAGGCACGTGCTTGACATATTTAACCTATGTTCAGATTTCGTTAATTTAATAAAGAAGAAAAATAAAGGTATCACACAAAAAATCTAAAAATAAATCGAATAGTTTCTTAGATTCATATATCAATGACACAACAACACACCAAAATCAAGTTGTCTGTTGTTTAAAAACCATATGTTTACCTTAAGATGTCATAATGTTCCTAAAAGCAGCGAGACCCGGTGCACCGAGAAGTAATCTTCTCCTGCTAAGCATGCATTACCCGTCATGCGAATCCACACTCAGTAAAAAGGTCAAAATCAGATCGATAAAATTACAAATTAGACGATTATTATAAACACTATGGTACATGTATCTCATGATCTAAGCCCGCGAACACATGTCGCTAGTTGAGACACAGACATATTATATCAGTCAATCTATTCATGATGTAGACTGTCAAACTAATGTAATATTAATTTCGGTTGTTCTTCCTCATAAATCTGTTGGAATAGATTTTATGTAAGTAGCACATTCTAATGAAGTCCGTATAGTGTGCAAATTCACCAGCGTAACGTATAAATTGAGTTATGTAAACGCGATACGACGAGGCAGAGGGTAAGTTACTGCAGAGAATTAGGAAGTTGCCAATTTGAAAATTTGAAATCATCACGTTTGTCGTAGATACAAGTTTGTAGTCGTCCATATGTTTCAATATCGAGGAAAAGATCAAACTATGAAGCAGTCCTTCTAATTTCCGTAGTATCCTTAATTTCAAGTTCAATCGAATATATGAGATCCAATTAATTAATGAAATGTGATTATACGTGGGGAAAAGACAGTTGTCTGTTGTTAAAACCATATGTTTACCTTAAGATGCCATATAGTTTTGATTTTGGTGTGTTGTTGTCTCATTGATATATTCAAAAGTAAGATATAAACGAAGGTGCGAGTTTCATGTGTGTGTGGTACTTATTTCAACCATTGTGTACTGTATCTTCTTCATGGAACAGAACTACGGAACTCAGGAGCTTAAGATAGAAAATAAACAAGTTTTGATTTTCACATGTTATTTATTTAAAAAAAAAACACATACAACAATCTCGAGTTTTTTTAATGAATGATTAAAACCGATGGACCCACGTCAATCGGCGTAATACTCATTTTTTTTTCAAACTTATTATATAAACACTGTAATCAAACATATGTTTCTTACATTTTTATACCACCTACAAGAGGTTTCTAAACATCTTACGAACGGACAAAAAATCTACGAACGCATCGTAAAGTAGCAGTGGTTTTGATTAATAAAATAGTTTCTACTGATATTGGGTGTGTTTAAAGACACCAGTCAACAATTTAATGTGTATAGTACGATCTTGTATTTGCATTGTTGTGGTTACACATTAGTGCATTAAACGTTTTGTGTTGTTGAATTTTGCGAAATTTTCGATTTTTTTTTTTTGTGGTATATGCTTTTGATTTATCTTCCGTAACCCATTTAAAAGTATCTTGTATTTAAAATGTCGTTGTAATTACATTAAATGCACACACAATTGATCAAGTATGCTTAAATGTCAAGATCTACATTGTAATGAATGACAAATCACGGTTTATGGATACTTTTCTGTGGCGATATTGTGGTTTGAAATAAAATATTTATCTAATCTTCATTCATCTGAAGCAACATTTTACCCTAAGTTCAACAAGTTACAACTTGCATTTTATGTTTGCATTAAAATCAAAATCTGAGTTAACAGTAAGTCACAGTTTTGATTTTAAGGAATGTGCGTGTAAAGTTGTCACTTTGAACAACATTTTATGCATGGATGACTGCAACGGTTTTGTGTCAAGACAGCTTCAAGAAATTATTGGCCAATCAAGACCAATATATCTGCAGTGCACATGATCTTCGTTAGTTGTAAAAATTCCAACAAAAGTAGAATAATCTTATCCTTTCCTTTCTGGGGATGAATGTCAAACGTAGGGTTTTGAAAGTCACAGTGATCTAAAATTTTGTCACTTCAAAGGTCTTATCTAAAACTCGTTAACCATAACAAAATTTCCATATTCAATGTTTCAGGTTGATATATGTAAGCGTAAAGCAAATTTGATTAACATTTATATTTATAATAACTACTGAAGAGATAAGATATTGTTCGCCTTTGTCAAGTTTTATGGACTTTTTTTCAAATTTACATTAGAGTTTGATATGTTCGTCCCTGCTGAGTCTTTTCAAGACGAAACGCGTGTCTGGCGTATGGAATTTTCATCTTAGTATCTATGATGAGTTTATTTGTACTTTTTTCCGACTGTTTATTTTTTTCATTTATCGCCATATTTTTCCTTAGTATACAATAATGTAGTATAGAAAAAAAGAAAATCACAAAATTACTGAACTCAAAAAGGACAGTCCCCAATCAAATGGCAAAATCAAAATAGAAAGCACTCCTTACAGTCATATACGACGATCTGAAAAACATGGCGTTAACACAACTATTTAAACAGTAAAAACGAATTTGGAATCAGTTGCAGAAATATATGCGGGGGGGGGGGGGGGGGGGGGGGGGGGGGGGTAACCAAATGAACTCGGGTCCAAGGATGTGTTTTTCTTCAAAATAAAATATTTTTACAACACAAAATTTTTTGAAACAAACACTGTGTATTATGTTTTATGTAGAAGACATTTCAAGTTAGTGCGATTTTCATTCGTTCTTAAGGTGTTAAAAAACACTATTAAGGGACGAAGAGTGTTTATTGTGACACATTTTGAACTACCTATGAATAAAGTGCGATTTATTTTTCCTATTTTACAGCCTTTGTTTTATTTTATATTCTAGTATAGAATATATACCTTGGTATCAGACCATTGTCTCCGCAGTAATGCAGTTCTGCACCTGACATCAAAACTGATACAGAAGGTACAGTTTTCAAGTCCAGTACAAGAGAACTATATTTAGATTCCCACTGATATATCAACATATTCAACATGTTTAGTCTTTAGTTTTCTATATTGTGTTTTGTAGACAGCTGTTTGTCTTTTCGTCGTTTTGCGTTGTCAGATTGTATTAGACTAATGAGTTTCCATAACTTGTTGGTACAACTGTATCTGTCCATTTCATAAATCAATATTTTGTTTTCAGGATGCAGTCAATATCGAACTTTCTAGTCTGCTGTATTTTGACAATTGGAGCTGGAGATATTGATTTTGATTACCTTTTGGATCAATACATCTTAATTTGCGGCAACATGCTATGTAATAAAACCAGTGAAATTGTCCCAGAAATTCCAGCACACTTATCAACTTGTTCTGGATGTTCTTGTAATGAAAACTGTGTTTTCAATGGAACCTGCTGTCCAGATAAGTTTTTTTCCCTCAAACTGGCATGCACAAACACTTCAATTGTCTCCCACAAAACCGAATCTAAAGACGTATTTGAAGATTCATTTCTGATGAGAGTAACTTGTCCCGAAGCTACAGATCCTTTATCAAAAGCTAACTGTGAGAGTAACAAAACCTTTACAGAAATGATACAATATCTGCCTGTAACTTCTTCAGAAACTAATATCACTTACAAAAATAAATTTTGCGCTCAATGTAATAATGAAAGTAAATTTGAGCAATGGATATTCAATTCAGTGTGTGACGAATTCGTAGATTTTAATTTCATTTCGTCCTTAGATGAATTGTTCAAAACAGCTATAGACAAAAAATGTAAAATAAGCAGTAATTTAACTGGATTGAACACCGCTGGTTGCTTTAGGGTTTTCGGATACAACACCATAAAGACTTGTAATGTATCAGGTTCTTGGATTACATACAACAAAGATATTGAATGGGCATGTCTGAATTACAATAACAAATTCCTTGAGTTTAAGAATGTTTTTTGTTACATATGTAACCCACCAGTGAAAGTTGAAGAAGTAATAACAGATTGTAACTTTACAGGGAAATTATTTTGGTATGAAGATTACCCAAATTTCCAGACAGCTTGCAAAGCACTTGGTCAATCAACAGCAACATATCCATTCAAAAATATCTACTGCTACCTCTGCAATTCATTACTTTTGCGAGCTTACAGAAATGACAGGCGTGTGATTATGTATTTCGATGCCTCTGTAAGTATAGAGGAAAATGTGGTAAACGGGAAGTACTTTGAATATATTTTTGAAATAGATTCTTTTAACGGTGAATTCATGGACAGTTATTTAAAGAAACAAGCATATCAGTCTTCTGAGACACAATTGAAGACAAATCATCGGGTTAATCTAACGGAAATTTACACATATTATTATGCTATGACCGGAAATGGTCATTTCTGTGTAAATATTTCAACGAATGTTATATCAGATGAAAGACATAATTGTGGTTGTTCCGATGGTTGCCACTTTTCTTTTTATAAGCCTTGCTGCATCGATGCCGATTTCAAATACTCGACCTCGTGTATTGATGATTATCTGGTGTACGACGGATGTGAAGATATTGCTACGGATTTTAATATATTGTCTGACATGTGTAATAATATAGAAGGTTCATCTGACTTGTTTTCTTTTATTCCAGTTCATGATAAACAGCAAAGTGCTAACTACAAAAATATATATTGTGCCCTGTGTAGACATTACAGAAATAGCACTAAGGCTAATCGTAAAGCTAACTTTTCCGATGTTGAAAAGTTAAAACCATGGACATTTACTTTGATATGCAAAAATGTCATTCCTATATATTTTCATGCGTTTTTGTCACACTTATTTGAAACACGATATTTATCTAATTGCACATTTACATTAGTTCCAGATATTTGTCAGAAACGATGTCCTACTAAACCGGCATATACCAAAGGAAATACTAATATTTCATGGGCTTGTAAGAACTTTAAGTCTACACCTACCAGCCTAAATTTTTACTATAAACTTAACGAGTCATTGCTAAATGAGTATCAAAATATATTTTGTGCTATGGAAGAAACGACTTATAATGTAACTACAACCATGATACAACATTGCAATGTCACCGGTCGGTGGAATTTTATTGACGAACGTTTACAAATACAGTGTAGACAGCTTCCTCAAATTGACTTTCACTTCCCATATAAGAATATATTCTGCAAAATGTGTAACGAAGAACGTGTCGAGTATGTGAATAACTTTCTGGGGAAATTTCAGTGTGATGGTGGTGCAGGTGGGCTAAATAATATTTTTTTTCGTAGTTTGTTCTCATTTTTGTCATATGAAAAACAAGCAGACAGCGTAGGCCACGGAACCTGCGAACAGAGCCAAGTGTATGATTCTATAAAGGTAAGCATTGTTAATCATAAAATCTTCATCGATTGATTAGAAGCTGTTTAATTATATTATTGTATTCAAAGCTGTTTGGTCATGAATGCATAAATGCATATAAAATCTGTGATATTCAATCAGTGAACTGGTTTATTACCCTTACATAAGGCTCTATAATGTAAATGCCTTATCGTTTTTCCAATTCTCATGACAAATATTGTTTTTGTATGGAGACACTTTTATTTGGAATGCATAACAGAAGAACTGGGAATTAACAACAAAACGTAGAATCCCACATGTTCCCCCACATCATTCCCAAAAGAGAAAATGTTATAAAATTATTCAAACGACCTCTCATTTTACGAAGGGATGATTTCAACTTAACCACTTGGTACTCTTGGTTTAATAGCTTCCTTGTGAGCAGCAACCCTCTACAATTTTGCAGTAATATCAAAATATTTTATCTTTCTACACTTGATACTACCATCCTTAGTTCAATTGAAAATTCGACTATTCGTCTCATTAAACAGAGCTTTGTCGTATAAATATGGGAATCGTAGATACAAATTTCTTCTTTAAGGTCATGAAAAAAATCTTAATATCTGAAGAAACACACTGATTCCAGCGATAACCACAACAAATGGTTATATTTAAAACGATGGACGTTTTGATCAAAAAATATTTGTATAGTTGGGTTGATTGATATTTCAGTAGAAAGTCGGTAATCCAATGTGTACTCATTGTGCATCCCAGATTTATTATAATCTAAATTGCTTTTAAAAATTCCGAATATTTATGAAAATTCAGAATCATGATTTGGTCCATGTTCGACACAGTTCAGTTCTGTAATCATACATGTATATCGTAAAACTCATGAAAAAAAACTAGTCAGATAGATGAACCAATGAACAAACATGATATATTAATTTAAATAATTTAAGCCAATAACGTTATTGAAAATACTTGTGTAAAACGACGACAAGGATAACAGATTCAATGATATGGTTTTCACTTGGAAAATGTCAAAGTCTCAAAAAAGGAATTTACATATGATAATGTTACTAATTTGTATTTCAGAATGGAGTTCTGTTGTCAATTTTATAAGCTAAAAAATGTGGATTTTTTTCAATACTTGGGCTCCTCAATCACTTAACAACGGTGACCAATTCCTATCTATTAAAAAGATAAAAAGATGTGGTATGATTGCCCATGATACAACTATCCATCAGATACAAAATGACGTTAATGTTAGCAACTATGTGTGGCCGTGGTCGTTTAACCTTTAACAATGACAAAAAACCAATACAATATAGATATTATAAAATAAAGGCTCCCGACATGAACAATGTGAAATAAGTTAATCGAGAAACCCAACCAACTTTAAGACTGGTCACGTATTACAGCACTTTCTCATCATTCTTTATATCATAATAACTATAAAAAAAAAATTATGCCAAGGAGATGCTAAATATTTTTCAGAAGTGTTCAGAATAGACATACGACGAATATTTTTATTTCGTAAATGATGGTTTAAGAAAGGAATGTTCGTATTGTTGTTAGTTTTAGATGTTTTCCGTTGGTATTCGGATTCAAGCGTCTCAGTTTTGTATTTTACCGACAAAAGTAAATGTTTTGGCAAATTTGATTCCTCTGATTCCACAATAAAAAATAAGCTTCATGAAAGGGATTGGAAATCAGAACTTAGATGAAAGAATAAAATAGCACCACTAGAGCATCAAATTTTGATCTGGATTATTCAAAACTAAATTTTGCTATTCAAAATCAAAGCAAGTTAATCTTCTTTTTCAACAGTTCTTTCAAAATCAACAAAACTTTGAAGTTCGACGATCTTTATACCTTTTTATCGACCTAATGCTACAAAGATCATTCATACGGAATTTCGTTAGTAACTGACGACTTTTAACGTTTTTAAATTCTTTATTTGCGTAGTTTTCTAATTTACCTTAATTTCAGTTGTCGACGTTTAAAAGAAGATGAACCAATTTACCCTGTATTTTTCATAATTTAAAAGTTGTCCAATCCTACTAGAAAAGTAATAGATATAATATAGTTATTTGAATTTTTTTTTAACGATTTTATTTATTTCCATTAACTCACAATGCTTTTAGCATTTTTAAATTGTTGATCTAGGCTTTGTGAGACTAAATTGGAAACGTACATGTAGTTTACTAAAACAACACACACAAAAAAAACGAAAAAAGGAAGAATGATTTAGTGTAATAATGTCATTAATCTATTCCGCGTGTTAAGTTTAAGTTAATGTTTTTTTTTTTCATTTTTGTGTGTGATTACTCCCGCTTAGCTGATATGATTGTCCCCCATTCCTCCCCCATATGACAAATCTTTCTATTTGCATTCGGTTTGGTGGTTTAAAAACTCACTTGTTAACTTGCCATTCCGAGGTCTTGATGGAAATATTTTCCCATGGGATTCCACGATAAAAAGCGTACCGGTCTTTACCGTTTAACACCTAATTACTCTCATCTATATATCCCTGACATAATTATTAACCAACATTCGGAGATTGATTTAGGCTAAAAGGAAATCTGTTGAATGGCAGCACAATCGATTTATGCACAGGGCACATATAAATTATATTATTCATAGCTATGTTATTTTTGTAATTAACCTATAAGTTTCATGTTGGGTTCACCGATTAAACCCATTTAATTGATTAGAAAGGCCTCTTTTTTATTAGCCATTTGGCACATTATGTAATTATGTTTTTTTACGACGCTTTCAGACAAACTTTCATTATTTTCGCTAAACCAATATGTATTAATTTTTCAAGAAAGTGACCTAACCAAATCATGATCAACTGGGCCAAATCATGACAAAATCACTACACTAAACGCCCCTCGATGTGATGACGTAACCACCAGTATCAATGGTGGCAATGGCCTTTCTATAGTATAACGGTATTTTTAAGGCTGAGGCTTCATTCGAAAAAGTTATTTCTAATTAATTTAAATCTGAACTGATCTAATAATAATATGCATAACTTAAAATGGATGTGATGTAAACGTTAATTAGGTTGCAATCAAACGAAACAACAAGACATTCAGGGTGAACATACATGTACTGTTTTAAGCATTTTTAGTATTTGTTATATACACATTAGTAATATTAACGAAAACAGCTGGCCAGTATTTTATGTTTTAAAATTACAAAAGAAACGGTAAATTGGAAGTTGACGTTGGAATTTCCTATAAAAACGAAACAATTACCTTGCCATAATAATGCAATATATTAATTGTCACTATAAGCTATCTTTGTTCAACTGATTTACAGAAACACTTCTTTTGTAGGATAAATGTCGTGATATCGTGTGCTACCCTGGACGTGTATTGATTAATGGGACGTGCATACCACTTCTGCCATACACTTCTAATCTTGGTTATACACTTACATTTGGAGTTCATGTTCAATCTGAAGCTCCGATAAAAAACACACGATACTTACTACAAAAAATTGAAGAAGAAATTCTGATTCAGCTAGGCAGACATTTAAATAGAAAAATGTTTCCCTTTCTAGAAATGATGATTATGAAAGCGAATACAACGTGTTCATCAGATGTGAATTTCATAGGACCATATTTACTTGTATCCGTATTTTTGAAATTATTCGTTAATGTCGTTGTTAGCAGAGACGAAATTGAAACAAAACTTCTACAGTTCCTAAACCATGAGTTTTCATTTAAGTATCAATTTGGTTGTGACTATTGTATTATAAAATGCATAGTTAAATATGACAATGGTTCACTTTATCTTCCGATCGATATGCATATAAAAAGGTTTGATAGTACAAAATGTTATCTGAAGACGACAAACATGATACCTGAATCTCACAAATATGTTCACTCGCACATCAGTTCTTTGCTTCAGTGTCCACAGATAGAATTAGATAAAAGAGAGGTCACTTTCGATAAATATAGAAACTTACTTAATGTACCAAAATACAGTACTGTTTTGGATTATTACAATTTCTACCTAACCAGATCAGATCATCCAAGAATTTGTTTGAATACATTTAAAGGTATGATGGTATCTTCTTCAGAAATGAGTGTGTTACAGATAATAATTCTGATATGTACAATATTATCGTTAATTTGCTTATTCCTCACTTTTATTACTTATTTCCTTTTTGAGCAGTTACGTACATTACCGGGAAAGAACAACATGTGTCTTGTCATTGCCTTATTTTTTGCTATGTCTTGTCTAGAATTTGGTTTGAACAAAACAAACATTGTAACTCTTTGTATTGTACTGGGTGGATTTATTCATTATTTCTGGTTATGTACATTTTGTTGTTTGAATGTTTGTTCCTTTCACATGTATTGCACATTTAGCAGGACATTAGTTTATCGACAAAGAAGTAAATCAAAAGAACGAAAACGTCTCTTGCTATACATTCTATACTCATTTGGGGTACCGGCCATAATCATTATTATGAATATACTTTTTACAAATTTTCTCAAAGGTAAAGAATTGTATGGGTATGGCGGGAACATGTGTTTTATTTCAGAAAGATTATCTTTCATTATAGCATTTATTGTTCCGATCATGATCATGTGTCTGTTAAACATCTTTTTCTTTATATATTCAGCACATTCGATTGCAACGACTCCAAAATTGAAAAATGATGATTCCTATCAGCAAAATTCAGTAAATCTAGCTGTTTACATCAAATTATTTACAATAACAGGCAGTTCTTGGGTAATACAAATAATAGATTCGTTTCTTCCCCTCTCATTCTTTTCCATAATTGTGTCTCTGTTAAATGCTTTGCAGGGGGTCTATATTTTCGTTGCATACATATGCAACAAACGTGTTTTCATTCTTTATCGTAGTTTAATTTGTAATAAAGCTGTTTTCAAATTTGGTTCTGAATCACGCAATGTCACTAGAAATGAAACTTTGACATCAACAAAACTATGAACTAAACAGACAGATGTTACCTCAAACAAAGATTTGCATCATAGAGTAAAGTTACATTGAAACGATTAACTCTTCGAAAATAACGTTCAGGTAAGATGCTCTATGCAATTTTTTTTTTCATTTGGTGAAGACACTGTGCCTCATCTGTATTAACATTACTGGTTCCTAGCCTAATCTATACAAGTACTGGAATTTGATAACACCGAATGTTTTATGATACCTAGATATTAATGTTTACTCAAATCACATTGTGTCGCGTAAAATTATCACGTAGCAAAAACCAAATGTATCCTTGGAATTGTTGTTTTAACAGTATGCATTTTCTAAAATGCTTATACAAATCAACGCGCCTGAGCTTCAATAATCGAAAAAACAACCTATGAATCATAATTTCAAAAGCTTTTGTTTTGAACTTTTCACTGGTTTAGTACATTAACCGTAAGAATTTCGTCGTTTTCCTTTAATTTTGGTTAACTTAAACTCCGTTAGGAAATTATCTTGTAACATATATAGGGTGAACAAAAGTTGGTACGATTTAAAATCATCCTAATAGCAAGGAAAAGCGGTGGGTCACTACTGGGAAATGTATGTGTGATATGTTATATATGGCTACTATGACCAGTTATCGTCAGTATTGAATCATTCAACTAAATTCTAGCTATTTCCACTTATCTGACATTAATTGATAGTGTGTAGCATGAAGAGCAAACGGTCTGTAGAATAAGCTAACTACATCGTCATTCGGTCTATAAATTTGGAAGCTGTTTTCCATTTATGAATATGAACTTATCATAAATTTATGTGACTTGAAATAATATTTTTACGGTATATTAGTCAGATAATGAATATTCATATGTTTTTCATTTAAATGACACAACTTGTAGTGTAAAGATTGCATAAAGAAAGACACACCTACGGTCGTTCTTTCATTGGATCAATCTTGACATCCCTCGATGTATTATACATGTTATAAGACAAGAAAAATCTTAAAATATGAATCATCTAAAACATAAACTACATTTCAAAGTGTTATTATTGTTTACACCTCTGTACTACCTTGAATAGTAATGTATAACATTGTGTTGTGTATGCTATGGTGTCATTGTGTGAATAAAAAAAATATACTTCAAATAGATTTTTCATAACTGCCTACATCATACATGAAATCGTCGTTTGATACACATTAAATGCATGTGTTTGATAGCCTATATGTGAATGAAGTATTTGAAATTAAAATTAAAGAACAGATTTAATGCACTGGATCAACAAAGAACACTGGTTCATTTCAGATTATCATAAAGAGATGCGGAAGATACCAAAGGGACATTCAAACTCATTAGTCGAAAATAAACTGACAACGTCATGGAAACAAAACAAAAAAGAAAAAAAGACAAACAACAGTACACAAATCACAACATAGAAAAAATAAAGAATGAACAACACGAACCCAACCAAAAACTGAGGGTGATATCAGCGGTTTATGGTTACATCCTGCTTTGCCCACTTTTAATTACCCCAATTATCAAATGGTTATATAAACAAAAAAGACAAAAGGTTTACTGATTGGAAAATTGTATAGTCTGTTCCAATTATGTTTCTATTTTACTTTATTTTATGTACAAATATCTCTGTAAGATTCTATCGGATACGTTTGTATGCAATCGGTACATATTAAAATGTATTTTGTTTTTCATATATTTGGTTGTGAAATTTTCATTGAATTGATTCTTTGAAGGAGATAAAAGAAATTAGATAATGAATTGATTTTGATATATATTTTTAATAGCACTAAAACATTTAACATTGTCAATATTACGTATAAGAGAATTTATAAGAAGGAGTGGATTCGCAATCGATAATCAACGAGCGACTTGAGTCGCAAGTTGATTATCGTTTCCGAATCCACTACTTCTTATAAATTCTCTAGTTTAACCCATTTCTAGTAAAACGACTGTCTTTTTTACGTTTTGACAATAAATCAACGGAATTTCATAAAGATAACTTCGTATTTTGTCTTTTTATTCTACAATAGTTGGAAATGATTATATTCACACGGTTCACATCTATATTTAGACATTTGACAAGTTAACATAAGTTTAACATAACTTAAATTGGGTGCTAGCTCCCCTTTTTAACTCCAAATTTCATATTGGTTAATAAATATTTCATTTAATGTTTAATCATTACAAATTATGTAAATTGAATAGATTTTGGTATTTATGATATATTTAAAAAGATATATATTAATATAAAGAATATATTTATCTTGTTTTGAAAAGTTTTTAGATTATAATTACCAAAATTTAGATTAGAGGTGAAAGAAACCAGAAGTTTAAAAATTTACTGACAACGATATGACAACCTTTGAAATTTATATATATAGTATTTTGCAAAATCTATTAAGTTGTCTGAGTGAGGGCTGTCTACCAATTAGCCGTACTAATCCAAATCTATAAGATTGGTGGAACTGCCACAAACCTACCATTTCATGTTGCTCCATTTTATGTTGCTTTCCAACATGTAGAAAATTATGTGGTAAAGGTTTTATTTGAACAATTAAACATACATTTTGTTTAAACTGTTTCCGTTTCATTAAGTTTAGATTATATTAGCGTTATAACATTTGGCATCCATCGTCAGTCAGTCAATAATTTTTCTCAAACTTTAAATATTTATTTTATTATAACTTAAAAAATGTGTTATCATAAATTAAGATAAAGATAAGTAGATAGAAATCTGATTACAATTTTTTTTTTAATAGTTTATAAATATATTTTTTAATTTTTTATCTCATTTAAAATTTTTATGACATTTATCTCTTATATAATTATATTTATAGTTTTTATTATAATAGTTTTTAGTAAATACAGTTAATGTCCTTTTTAAATCTCAATATTGAATCAATTTTCAATCAAAAATATGTATTCTTTTTAAGATTTTACAGGTAAATTACAGGTAAATAGTATGTCTAAATTTAAGAAACAGACTTTAGTTGTTAAAACAATTCCCCCTATGTTTATATATTCATGTAATTAAAAGTGGGCCGACCAGGATGACACCGATATCAGAAGCTCCGGACGGGTAAGCAGATCCTGTTTGACATGTTGCACCTGTAGTGTTGCTCATGAAAGATACCAAAGGGACATTCAAACTCATAAGTCGAAAATTTACTGACAACGTCATGGTAAAACAAAAAAAAGACCAACAAACAAATCACAACATAGAAACCTAAAGTATGAGCAACACGAACCCAACCAAAAACTTTGGGTGATATCAGGTGCTTCGGATTGTAGTTTAACGACAATTGAAACATATCCGTCCTAATCTGTAAAAAAGATATCCCGTAACGGTCAACCAACTCGTGATGGCGTCAGTAAAATTTACGAAGTAATGATTTCAACTTCATCACTTTAACTCTTTGTTTGATAGCTTCCTTGTTAGCAGCAACCCATTATCAAGGAAATCATGATTGGAAGTATATGCGCTGGAATATCGTATCAACTATTAGATGTATAAGCCTTTGATAGTCTAGTATGTTTTTTTAATTTTGATTCATTTATATGTTTCGGAGTTTAGTCTGACATCCATTTTCGCTGAACTAGTATACATTTTTAAGGAGCCAGCTGAAGTGTGCCTCCAGGGTTGGGATTTTCTCGCTGTGTTGAAGGCCCATTGGTGGCCTTCGGCTGTTTTCTGTTTTCTGCTCTTTAGTCGGGTTGTTGTCTCTTTGACACATTCCCCGTTTCCATTCTCAATTTTATCCATATGCAGGCGCTGATGGAATCTTGCAACATAGAAATGGACAGATCGCAATTGGGAATCTGAGATTATCTCTTGTGTTGTAAAGTTTTGTTTTTAACCGACCATCATCGTCAATTTCTAGATGTAAGTCAAGATATGAGACATATTTAACTGTATCTGTTGTATTCTCTATCTCATGTTTGATGGGATGGATGCGTTCAACATAGTCACTAAACTTTGAATTATCTAGTGAGAGGACATCATCTATCTAGCGGAAAATGAAGTTAAGGATAATGCTACCTTCATTTCTTTCTTCCTATGAAGCTCCTGTATGAAGTCAGCCTCATATGAATTGTCAAAATAACAACTAGGATTAGTATTATAGTAAAGTATATGTAGAATCGGGTAGATGTCTGAATGTTTGTACAGCAAAAGTAACAAATGCCGACTTTAACATTTAAAGTAGTTAAGTATTGTTGACAAAATCATTACAAAAAAAAAAAAAAAAAGAAATGTAGTTAACAGTTCAATCAAGTTAAAAAAAAAAACGTTGAACGATTCATTAAAATCCATTATCGTTTTAATAAGTGATGACTTATAGCTATTAATGTTACAGGATATCAAAGCATCCCTAGTTTTCAAATGTTTAGGTTTGAGAGTTCCTAAAGAAGGTAAATCCAGAGAGGCCCTTCGGACGCCCACAAATTATAAATTATTAATTTCATTTAGTGGCACTGGTCGATACTATAGATGGTGAACTGTTAGTCCCCGAGGGTATCATTATTCACCTCAGTAGTCAGTGCCTCGTAACTAACATGATTTATAACAAATACAATAAAATTCTTTGTTCACCAATTTCAATATACATGATATTATGTACTCTGGACACCATCAGCAAGCTTTATTACAAGCAAAATTTTGAGAATTAAAACAGATACATAAAATGTTTTGGAGCATTTAAAGTTGAAATGCTTGATAACATGAACAGCTCATCTAGTAAAAGTTCAAAATGCCTTATCGAGTGATGATGTATCCGTACATTTAGGTGGTAACATGGATAGCAATGACGCATTATGACTCATTATTTAAAAGCCACGGCTAGACACGAACAGATAACACCCAAAAACTTTAGAAATGACAAATGGCAAGTTAAATTTGGAGGAAACATCATCAGAGACATGTACACGTATAATATCGTTTCAGTAAAGAAAACACTTCTTTGAAAACCATCAGGAGTTTAATCATTCGCATTCAACGATAATGCAGATCAATTAAATAAGCATAGTTATTTGGATCAAACACAAAGATGGAATTAGTAAGATTGCACTGATCTTAAGTTTAATAATTAACTGAATGTGGATTACTTTTCATAGGTAACAAATCAAATTTATAAACGTTTGTTTCAATGATAACAACTATGAAATTTGAGAAATCATTTACATAAATTACTTGTGCAATAACATGGTACGGTTAATGCTATGTTTAAAAACTTCAAAACTGGCATCCGAATACGGACATTGTTTGATTGAAATTTGCAGCAATGAAATTTGGATAATCATTTCGAATTAAGGAATATATCTCCTTCATGCAAGGCTACAATTCCTTGTCCAACATTTGGTTTTCCTTCGTGTCCTTTTCGGCTTTATCAACTCTTTAACGTTTGTACTAGTCTTAGGATTTTCAAACATTTTTGCCTCTACCATCACTGAAGATCTAGAGACATTAATTGTCGAAATGCGCATCTGGTGCAGTACAAATGCTAGCGTAAATGTCATTTCTGGTGGACTGTGAGTGGCCAAGGGTATCACCAGCCACGTAGCTAATACGTCGTTACTGGCATGCAAATACTGATATTGTTTGATTGCAATTTGCTGTTACAAAATTTTGAAAATTATTTAAATTAAGGAATTTATCTTCTTCTTTGAGTATACAAAAAGTAAAACAACAAAAATATTGAACTCCGAGGGAAATTCAAATCGGAAAGTCCCTTAACAATTGGCAAAATCAAAAGCTCAAACACATCAAACGAATGGAAATCAACTGTCATATTCCTGACTTGATACAGGCATTTTATACATTAAACATTTACCGTAAATTTGAGCTTGTAAAATATATAGATTAAATTTACAAAGCAAAAAGTAAATTAGATTAAGATAATGAAACGAGAATTTACCAATAATTCACTAATTCTCGTCTCATTATCAAGCTTTTAAAAAAAATTTAGATATAGCCGCCGTCCCCATCAACAGATAAAGTAACGATTATCACTAATAACTATTGTCAAGTCCAAATTACGA